TTTTTGGCCCCCCCCCCCCCCCCCCCCACAACTATACATGCTAGCTACAGCCATGGATACAGACTTGCCGACTGGAACTTCTCCAGGTCCCCCGCTAATTATGTCCTCTCCAGTTACACATCCTTAAAAAAGGCCTAGGCCCTGAACCAAATCATCCAAATGTTATACCTCATAGCAATAATTATATGTATTATTTAAAGCAATGCATGAAGCTAGAAAACTGAACGTTAACTATAATTAAAGAATCTAAATAGTATAAGACAGTATAAGCTATTGCAAAAAAAATGCTGCGAAAGAAAGTGTGGCAAAAAAAATCGTACAAGGTGATGGGATAAAAAAATATCTTGCACATAACGATCCCAGAAAAAAAATTCCCTGCCAGCAGTAAATCACCCTCTCCCCCCTCAAAAGTTAAGTGGTCGGCCCCAGACTCGTCCCTATTCGTCCCTATATATAAAATTGAAATTCAAATAACGACTGGGGACGAGTCTGGGTCGGCCCCTAATGACACTGGCACAAACAGTTCAATGGGGGCTTTCAATGCTAATACCGTACGGGACCGTTCATTAATTATACGTCAGGGTGTGCTGGAGGAAAAAGAGCAGAAACAGTGCAAGTTTTCCATGACCCACCCCATTAAGGTGTTAATTTTTTAATGACCCCCCTTCTAACCGATCATTTTTTTCACAGCCCCCCCCCCCACCAAGTCGTACAAATTTTTCCCAAAAAAGTTGTCGACGGGGGGGAGGTAAAAAAATTTTCCGCACGAACATAAGCATAGAATAAAATTTTTTCCGGACTAACATAAGCATATTCAAAATTTCTCCACCAACATAAGCAACGCTTCCAATTTCTTCACCACAAACATAACAAAAGCTTTAAAACTGCTAAAATTGCAAACCATTTCATCAAATGGCTTTGGTTGTGAAGGCTTGATATTTGAAACTGGTCAACCTAAAATATTAATAATTACAACAAATAATTTTGGCAACCCCCCTTTCATGCTGAAAACACTTTGAAAGCCCCCCTTCTAACCATAAATTGTTTTGGTACCCCCCCCCTAATTTTCCTCCACCCCCCCTGGTCCTTAATTAATGAACGGTACCTAACTTCAATAAGACCCGGGATGGGCTCCTGTGGGGGCGGCGCTTAAACGAGTAAATACGGTATGTGTCTGGTCGCAGAGGTCTGGTCGGTAAGAATACTCAATAGGGACTATAAATGAAGGACTATTGACTATTCTGTGCTTGTGCAATCATATAACTCGCGATCGTTCACATCCATCAGAAGAAGAAAATCTCAAGTGGCAACGGCCCTTTAACTACCCTGGGTGCCAGAGCCTCTTGTGATAGAAGTGAGGACACGACGAGGAGGCTCTGGTCACACGAGCATCCAGCCTCACTCTGGTGAGTTCAATATTTGAACTCTGTTTGTGATTGGTCTAAATCATGCTCATCGGTTAACCAATGAAAAGACTCGCATAAATTTAGACCAATCACAAACAGAGTTCAAATATTGAACTCACCAAAATAGTGTAGTCTCCTACGCAGCCTGTTCGCGGGTCCGAGGTTTTCTCCCCACTAACACCTCGGACCCGCGAACAGGCTGCGTAGCTAGATTGCTCGTGTGACCAGAGCCTCCTCGTCGTGTCCTCACTTCTATCATGATCACAAGAGACTCTGGCACCCAGGGTACCATTTAACAAGATTGATGTACTTTATTTCAATTTTTAATTTTACTGTAAAAGAATTCATTCGGTTCAGTCAGAAAGAGCTCCTGTGCCAATATATATGATCATATAAGTGCCCTGTATATAATCCTATTCTCGGCCAGTTACGTCATACCCTCGCAACGAATGACATAATCGGCTCAGTTGATGATACATCGTGAAAACGTCGTCGGGAAACGTCGGCAAATCGAAGGCCGTGTTGTATAAATACTGTATTTTCAAGGTAAATCACATTTCATCCGCCTTTTGGGGATTTGTTATTTGGTTGTTTGGTGTTCATATAAGCCATTGTACATTTACGTTACGTAGAATGACTTTTATTGTTTTTAGTTGTCTTGTGTCCTGATATTTCAAGCTGGGAGCCTTCTCGTCAAAAATGAATTCGTTATTTGGGACAAGCACCCCGTTCGAAACGAAGAAAACGCCGATAACTGATGTGTATACTATAACGAGCTCGGTTCTTGGTGTCGGTATTAATGGCAAAGTTGTCGAATGTGTGGAGAAAAAAACCGGGAACAAGTATGCATTAAAGGTGAGCCGAATTCAGTGGCTTTTGTGTGCATGCAGGTTTGACATTGTGAAGCATATATCTTCAGAACCAAGCTACAGTAGATCTCTTTAAATACAGTAATGAGTAATATCAATACTATTATCAAATATAGTGCAGTCTTGCGGGAAGTGCAAAGCACAGGAAGTTGAATTTTTTTATTGAAGTGCAATGTCATGTATTAAGTCCGTTAAAATTTAATTAATATTTACTTCTGTTAATTTGTTACATGATTTGGAAGTATCTTCCATAGGAAATACAAAATCATGTATGTAGTGACAGTGATTTATGAGGCAATATAGTACATTTCCTGTATTATTTATTACATGCAGATTATGTTGTTTGCCAAGGATTGTTCAATGATATTTTGAAATGGCATTAATAGGTTATAGGCTTGTAGCTTCAATTCTACAATGTAGCAAGTTTACCTTTATCAGGGTTTTTTTTCAGGATTTTCTCTTGGGTCTGTTTTTGCAGAGAAGATTGAGTTTAGCTGAACCCCCCCCCCCCCCCCTACCTGTACTCAATAAATGTAGTTGAGACGGAATGTGTTAAAGAAGGGGCACTAAGGGACACTATAAACTGGTTAAAGATGGCGAATGCATAGTTTTTCTTGTGTTGTGAGATGAATTCCAGCCATTTTTTTTAATTGTCGGGTTTCCAACTGAAAACTAATTTCCACACGTCACAAATTTAACTCAAACAACTTCATTTTTACTGCACTGAAACTTTGGTGAGAAGATTGAGTTTCAAAACTCAATTCAAGATTGAGTTTTTGGGGCCGTTTAATGGCCCTAAAAAATCCCTGAAAAAAAACGCTGCTTTATAGATCCTTACCAGATTAGAAAGTTTGCAGCGTGCAGACAATAAATCCCAGACTGCACACTTCAAATGGCCATTTGGCCGTGTACTTTCAAGACAGCTTCACTTGCCTGCACACTTTGGTAATATTTGATAATAGATATTCTGATTAAATTGTATATTATTTTAAATCCAGAAAAACAGAATTATGTATTCAACATTTTGAGGCTGTCTGTGCAAATTGGTGGTCAAAATTCTGTCTTCGTACACAATTTATTTTTCCAAGTTAATCAGTTGCAAAGTGTAGGATTATTTCAAAAGTCAGTTTTCAAAGTATCAGTCAATGTGATGGCTAGTTAATTAGTTGTCTTTGCACAGAAACCAAGTAATGTCAGTACTCAGCAATGCCATGCAGACCTGTCAAGGTTGCAAATTGAGTGAAAGCTGCATTTTTGGCATATATATACACTTGGTTCAATTTTGTCTCAGGAGAAAAGTACGGAGAGACGGACTAGGGACATTTGCATCATAATATTTCGAATGTTACTTGTAAAAATCGGTGCGAAAATTGTCCGTCTCTCCCTATACTTTTCTCTCGTATTTTTGCGCCTTTTTTCACCGCTCGCATGCAGCGATATTTTCAACCAAGGCCGGATTTTGGTGGAAATAGTGGAGGGAGGTGGAAAAAACTTTAGGGGAGGTGCAGCGGTTTAACTCACGACCCCCATGGAAAGTTAGAGATTAGAATGGGCCATCCAAAGTCAACTATGTGACATATGCATGTTGTGTACATATATGTATCAGTGTATTAATGAATTATGACTTTGCAACAACTCAATGAACTCATCCAATTTTGCCCTTCATTACAATTACCACAAAGTTTCTTTCAAAACATCGCATTAAAAGGGTTCTTGACACAGAGATGAAAGGCTATCACTGTTTCAATTTTACAGAAAAAAGTTTCTTACAAAACTTGTGTGGACCCTAAGCAAACCAAAAAATGTCAAATTTTCAATTTGATCTATCATTGAAACTTTCCCAAGGGGAAGTGCATAATTTTTCAGGGGACGTGCAAACATTCTCGGGGGAGGTGCAAAACGATCTCAGGGGAGGTGCACACCTCCCCTCAAAATCCGGCCATGTTTTCAACCCCTTGAGAGACGGACTTGAACCAAGTCTGGCATAAATATTTCACCACTCACATGCAACAAAATTTTGAAAATTGCACTTTCAAGACTTGGCTAAAATTCAGGGATGCCGGAACTGGGAGGGCAGGAAGGGCAGCCGCCCCCGTTGCAATTCACCAGGTGGGGCAAGGGGGCAAAGGTGCCCTTTCAATTTAAATGATTGCCTTGGCAAAATAGCGAATTGTCAGAAATGTTAGCGCAATTCTTTTACAAATTTGCTTCAGAAATCAGAAAACGCAAGAAATGCAGCCATCGAGCTTCACAAATGGCACGATCGCCTGGTGGAGAACCCCCTCTTACCCCTATCATCTAATAAATAGAAAACATGATTTGGCGAAGTTCAACTCCCGATGTTTTGCAAACATCTCTTAGTATATATCAATTCAAAAGTGCCCTCCATGCCCTCACATCGTTTTGGTGTCCCTGCTAAAATTACATTACATATAATTAGTGTAGTGTATCATCCCGTGTTTTTAAAGTTTTTGACACATACATTTTATCTAAACAAAATTAATAAACCTAAAAGTGTAGATAAATTTAAGATGAGAAAACGTCCTTTCTTTGTGTGTGAGCGTAAGAAATCCTTAAAATGTGTGTGTCTCGCGTAGAATGCCAAACTGGGTTTCATGTGATTCAAATTTGGAGCAGAATAGCAAAGCAGATGAAGAAATAATCTCACCTTTACATCTGTCAATCTTATAACTGAATACTACATGTACATTTAGATACTTTAATTTGCAAACCTATTGCTAACCTTCCGACCTGATTTGCAAACCTATTGCTAACCTTCTGACCAGTCTGTCAAAGTCTGTCAGAATCTATACAGACAATTTAGTTTTAAAATTCTTGTTTATCCCAGCACCAGTGACTTGTGAAATCATCTGGCAAAAGACGGAGTACAACAGTAAAGTAGGGCGCATTAGGTCACAGTGTCACACTGCAACTTGGTTAAAATATAAAGAAGTTATTGATACAGCTCTCTTTGCGACTTCATATTCCAGAATCACATTTAAAAGAAGCTCGACTTTCAAAAAGTTTGTCCACACAAAATCTGGAGTCATCACGAATCTGGATACGTGTGGAAGGTGTGGACGCATAAATGTTTGAATCCGCAACAAATTGACGATTTTACTTGTCAAGGGGAGAGTGCTGGCCACTCATGGATTAACCGAGCGCGAGGTCTGTAAGAGAAATATCGGACCGAGGTCTTTTTTGAACAGACCGAGCACGTACGAAAACTTCGAAAAGACTGAGGTCCGATATTTCTCTGTACATATCGAGCAAGCGAGGTTATTAAAAAGTTTATTATATGACATTTATACTTGAAACAAACAAGAAATGCATGATTTGAAATGCATATTTAATAGTAGCGTGGTCGAAGAAAACAAAAAATACCAACGGATTCCTTTTCCACTAAAAACCATTTGCAGATATCTTATTAATAACAAATTAAATTATAATTTTCAATAAGTTTTGCTGTTTTAAAATGCATGCGTTTGTTTTGACGTACGGGAAAATAATGGGCGGCTGAAAGTGCTTCTCAACCAATCACTGTCCGCCATTTCGCCGGAAGTGATGCTTGTCATATAATAATAGATGTTATTAGCGTGGGTGAATCTCAAATTCCATCGATTTACGTCATTCCGGTTCCAATGGCGTCTACACGCATCCGGATTCGTTGCGTTTTCAAACGTTTTCAGTTACGGTGCGCAGAGGCTTTGTGTTTTGTTTTGGGTTTTTTCGAAGTCTGTAGGCGGGATAGTCGCGGGCTAGGCAGGCTAGGGGAAAGTTACCCCGCCTGCAGACTTCGAAAAAAGCCAAAACAAAACACAAAGCCTCTGCGGAGGAGAGTGGTTACGGTGCGCGTTTTCGTCGGTACGTGTGCACGGAAGGCGTATGCTCAGCAAAATGTTTGCGAATACAAACGAACCCGGTTACATGGGGGCCTATGTTTATGAATTATGGTAGACCCGAATTCAATCTTTGCCATCTGGAGCATCTTTTATATTTTACACCCCAAATGATTTCATGAAATTTGGGAATAGGGGGTCTCGCCATGAGTTTTATACTTGAGGCAGCAATTCCCATAGTTATGTATTACAATTTAAAACTTCATGTTAGAGCCACAAGACTACCAATAGAGCATATAGAAGTGTAAGCTTACGTCACGCAATTCCTGATACATATGACTTTTGGCAATTCCTGATACATATGACATAGTGCATTGTGGGATACTCGTGGTGCAGATGGAATTTTTCGAACCAACAAATTTATACACATGCTTAAGGCCGTTTTCCACTTCAAGCGCACCGTAACGTATCAAAACCAATTTTAAATTTCAAAATTTAGTGAATGTTGATTGTTTAATACTTCCGTAGTACGCTAAAAAGTTGACTTGCGACGAACTTTTTATTTTGATACGCGAATCAACCGGAAGTACGTAAATTTGAAAACCCATCTTCCAGCTGCGCATGCTCACCGGTACGTTACGGTACGATACATGCGAAGTGGAAAACGGCCCCTAAGCCAGTTTTCCACTTCAACCGTGTCGTAACGTACCGTAGCATTTATCAGGGCCGCCCAAAAAATTTTTGTTGGGTCCCAGCCTTTTTTGTGTGTTAAATATTTCCGCGCAAAGGACAAGATATCTGTTTTCTTGGGCTAAGTACCGAATTTTGGCATAATGACATTTTGGTTGTTCTCCGGAAAAAAATTTTTCCGGGAAAATTTTTTTAGATAGGGGCCCCTAAAAAAAAATTGCCCCGGGCCCCCGCCAACCTCTGGGCGGCCCTGAGCATTTTCTTGTGTGTCGAAGTCATTAGTTCCACACTACTGGTCAGGAAACAAAGGAATACGCTACGTTTCGGTACGGTTGAAGTGGAAAACAGGCATTAGACCTAACCAGGAGCAGTTGTAAAAAATACAACTATACAGGGTGTCCAAAAAAAACCCGAAAACTATTGAAATCACTTATTGTTAAAATTGAATGCCCTACCAAAAAGCTGAACGTAATGATGCGTAAAATATTGACAAGGTGCATGTATTAAAATTTAGTTAAGAACATCTTGTAAAGTGCGCGATTTTCTGCTCTTGGGAATTTAAAGCAGCTTCCTAAATAGTTTCTTTATGCATAAAATTTACTTATGTCAATCATTTATGCACTCGTGGGAACCAACAGAGTGCTAAGGCATTCAAATTCTAACAAATTGTTATTGGTGATTTCAATAGTTTTCGGGGGTTTTTTGGGACACCCTGTATATAGACCCTCTGGGCTCTGGCAGGGATCTGCCCTGCGATTTCGGTGCAGTGCTCTAACCAACAGATTCATGTATATATAATGGGTGATGCCAGTGGAAAGTATAATATGGATAAATATTGAGATCTTTGGGCATCTCATGGTCTTTCGTTAGATGGAATTTTTGGGACCACAAGGCACGCTGTTTCCCTTGGTGTCAGTGTAGAAGTGATAATTGTTGTATGTGCCAGCGTAGGTAGTGACAATAGGGAGTTTAAGATCTTGACGACGAACTACCGACTACGTTTGAAATAGTTTTTGTTGTATGTATGCAAATACTAAATGCTTCTCATAACAAATTTATCCCAAATATGTTTTATATGCATGCATGGCTTTGTGTTCGGCAAGTTTCATCTTTTAATTTTCATCATTTCTATATAAAAATGCTTTCCAACCTGCAACGTTGCGTAGTCAGTTTCGGTGCTATGTTCTTGATTCTGTTTTACAACACAAGAATGTGATTTTACGCTGTAGTCAAGGTCGCTGAAAAGTATGCTCTGGGGATATGTAAATTTTGTCTGCCTTTGTTAAAGCAATGCGAAAACAAGCCTTCAACCGTACTTCGTACCCGTTGTTCGTTGTCGGGATCTTAAACTCCCTATTAACACCAGACAGCTGCAGGTTGAGAGGGATTCAATTTGTTTAAATATTCATTTGTTCATTATACAATCACTTTATGGTTTCCGTGTTTGGATGGCCTGATCCAAACACGCGGGAATGTTGCGAGGGTTAAGAAAAGCGAGCGAAAGGCGAGTGATTTTGCCCGCTTTTCTTAACTCGAGCAACATTCCCAAGTGTTTGGATCATTCCATCCAAACACGGAAACCATAAAGTAATTGTTTTATAAAATAACAACAACACGATAGTCTTCCGTGTTTGGATGGCCTGATCCAAACACGGGTTTCGACCAATCAGAATACGCGTTATGTACATGTTATTTTATAATTAGCTTTGCCAACTAGGGCAGGGTCACCACAACAGCATATGCCAATTACTGTGGGCCCTTTTACCTAACCCACCCTGTCAACTTTCCCTGTGGGAGGAAACTTGAGTACCCGGAGAAAACCCACGACTTTCGGCAGAGCGTTGACTTTTACTCTTTTCACATGAGGACTGAGTTCGAGTCGCATTGAGAAAGTTCTCACTGAGGCCTGAACCTGCGGCCTCAGAGGTGAAAGGCAAGTGCGCTAACCACTTCGCCACCGAAGCCCCCTATTTGTTCGTATTGTTCAAGTATTTGAATCCGTCTCTGGACATTGTTGTAGTTGTATACCTTTTCTGAAACAGTTCCCGCGGCATATATAGGTGTTTTCAGACATTACATTTTTGTGGTTAGTAATCTCCAGTTTTATACACTATACATGTTTTTTCAAACGATATATCTTTGTGGTTTATCTTGTATCCAGGTATTGCAAGATAATGCAAAGTCAAGAAGAGAGTTAAGTTTACATTGGAAGGCTGGTGCATGTCCGTTTATTGTAAAAATTAAAGAAGTGTATCAGAATAAATTTATGAAACGGGACTCTTTACTGGCCGTTATGGAATGGTACGTCTTTATTTTCTTGTAATTTCCTTATCGTAATGCTTATGGAATACCTGAACTCAAGTAAGCATATATATATATATATATATATAGCTACACAGTTTAAGACCTAACCAGGAACGGTTGCGAACAATGCAAGACTATAGGTCCTCTGGCAGGAATCGATCCTGTGGCCCTGCGATTCAGGTGCATAGTTCCAACTAACTGAGCTACAGAGGCCAGTTGTCGAACTGTAACCGCAAATTCATATATATATATATATATAGATTTTCGGGTGTGCGGGTTGTGATAAGATGTTTTTTGCACTTCACTCAGTTGAACTTGAAAGCTTTTCAATTTCAACCAAGTGAAGTGCAAATAACATCTTTCAAGGTTTCCTTATGTCCTTATTGAAATACTCTTTATAGTTCTAAAATGTTGTCTCTAGAGGTCCAGTTAGGCGAAACCCTTAATTAATCCTATGTCGAACTCTACATCCCATCGAGCCATCCCATTGGCATATCAAATCCGATGAAACTCCAATTAAATATGGTGTTCCACAAAGTTCAGTATTGGGTCCCCTTTTATTCCTCTTATATATTAATGACTTCCATAACTGCAATGACATTTTTGAATTTAACATATTTCCAGATGACACTAATCTTTTTCATGCTAATGCAAATCTTGTTAATCTAGAAATAACTATTACAGTCAATTTCAGCTGACTTTTCATCGTAAGATTCCGAACTTCGTTCCGAACTTCGCAAATTCGTTGCCAAGTTCAAAATTTCATAATGAAATTCACAAACAGGTTTGTAAACAGGGCATTTGATTGGCTGGTTTGATTTAATAGCCAATCAGAGGCTTTGTTTACAAACCTGTTTGTGAATTTCATTATGAACTTTTGAACTTGGCAACGAATTTGAGAAGTTCGGAACGAAGTTCGGAATCTTATACGATGAAAAGTCAGCTGAAATTGACTGTAATAGAAATTTGGAGAAAATTTTTGACTGGTTGGCAGCTACAAACTGTCATTAAATATTGACAAAACAAACTTTGTTTTGTTTCATCCCCCTCAGCGAACTCCAAATCACGTGATTGCTTTATTTATCAACAATAGTCAAATTAAACAAGAAAAAGATATCAAATACTTAGGAATTTTCCTTGACTCAAACTTACGTTGGAAAAGTCACATTACTCATATATCAAACAAAATTAAACGCTGCATTGGTGTAATCTCAAAAATTCGCAATTCGTGGATTTACATATGCTTAAACAATTATACTATACCCTCATTTATCCATATTTGACGTACACTTTACCAGTTTGGGGTAATACATATCTATCTAATCTTGATATTCAGTAATAAGGTTGCAGAAAAAGGCAGTCAGAATTATGACTTTCTCTAGTTTTAGGGCACACTCAACCCCTCTTTTCAAACATTGTGACATACTTAAACTATCAAAATGCTCTCATATTCATGTTTGACTTCCACGTGGGTAATTTACCCGCTGTCTATGATAATTTCTTTCAAAATGTTTCCGAAGTACATAATTATAACACTAGGTCTTCTACAAAAATTTTTTTATATATTCCAAAAATTCGGACAGATTATGGTCGGTTTAATCTGCGCTACTGTGGTAGTTTAATCTGGAATTCCATTGATAGTAAATTGAAATCTCTAAGCAAATATAACTTCAAAAAATTATTTAAAAACTCTCTACTTCAAGCTTATAATGACTAAATTCTGTTTCCATTTGTGACATTTTTGATGATATATTCTTTTGCGTCTATTGTACTTTGTCTTTGCCTTACCTGTAATGCATGTGATTTGATTATATCAGTACTATATACATTTCGTCTTTCGCTTGCGTCTTTTGTCTAAATGTGCTACTTTGCTTGATTAGCCCTTATGGTTATTTCTTTGTAGCCTTTACTCTATATTTGTATAATGTATTTTGTTGTAAATTATTGTATTCACCTCAGAGTATTAAATTATATGTTATGTTATGTTATGTTATGTTATGTTATGTTATGTTATGTTATGTGGGCCGGAGATTTGAAATCCATAGAATTCCCGCACAAATTCCTGTAAATTTTATTGCCTTGGGGAGAATTGCTTCATTTCGTTATTATGTATATTTTAGTATGACTGGTGGTGAGTTATTTGAAGCGATTCAAAGTAGATCGGAAACACACAAACCGTTTACGGAAAGAGGTAAATAAAACACTTTTAAATTAGACAATCTTCCCCACAAACTATACAATAGTACAGAACAGAGTGTTCCGATGTTGAAAACTGTGGTGTCGTGTAACTGTTTAGGTATTCTTTCTCATATAACACTTATGCGTTATTCTAATTACGCTATTCTAATTCTATATAATAACTTGAAATCTGGTAAGGTATACACCCTTTCGATAATTACATTATTTGGCCTGGGAGCCTCGCTCTCATGAATCGTGAGCCAATCACCTTGCGTAATTTACTAATGAGAGCGAGGCTCCAAGACCAAAAAGTATGTGTGACGTAATTATCGAAAGGGTGTATTGCACAAAGAATTTTGGTCACATGCATGCATTCATGACGTCATAAGTCGTCAAGTTGAATACCCAAATATTTATATATGAACATGTTTTACAACGTTTAGAGGCTGCAGAAATAATTCGAACAGTGACACTCGCTCTTGCTCACTTGCATTCTTTGGATATTGCCCATCGTGATTTAAAGGTTAGTTGCATTTACAGTACATACGTACATATTTAAATTAAAGGTCTATTTTTATTACTGAAAGCTGTAATTCGAATTAACATTTATACTCATTCGTACAGTATACACAATGCAACACTGTGTTTGTAACCCCTCAAAATTTTGTTATGAATTAACGAATTTGCGAGAGTTATTATGAAAATACTGAAATAGGTCAGTGGAAAATTTCAAATAAGGTCTGCTCTCAAAAACTTTTTCAGAAGAAGAAGTTTATTAAAACCTCCCCCAGTCTGTTAACTCCCTTCCCTGACAACAGAGAAACACATGTCCACCGACTAGATGTACATATATATTAATCATGGAGGTTCACGTAATATGTAAATATTACTTGTTACTTGCTGTGTTTCGCCTAAATCACAGGCGAGCTTAAGTAACCGACGTTCTTGAAGCGACTGTCATTTTATGTTGTAACTGGATAATTAAGCAGCTTTCCTAATAACCCCTCGGAGCTTAATGGAGGATACACTGTACTGCAGTATACTTTGAAGTTATCCAAGATTAATTTTGCAAGGATCTAAAAGTACAAATCCATAAACTTGATATCTTTATGTAGCCTACAATATTCTGAGGAGATTTTTTGGTAAAATATAGCAATCTCTTTACTCTTTTAGCCTGAAAATTTACTTTTTACAAACAAACAACCAAATGCTGTATTAAAGTTAACGGATTTTGGATTTGCGAAAGAAACAACTCCTGATAAAATGACTCTACAAACACCATGTTATACACCTTACTATGTAGGTAAGTTGGAAAGAAGAATATTTCATTTTTTGCACAGTAATTCAACAGTGACTTGCATGGAAACGAAATACCCATGAGAATACAGTATCTGCAGTGTACTTGAGAAATATCGTGCGCTAAGGCAATTATACATATATATTCAGGCCGTAAAATATCGCTCAGAGAATCGTCTGACAAAATCTTCGATGACTTTGAATTTGGGTCAGACATACCTGTATGTACTGTATTGTGATGTCCCATGACTTTGAGTTCAGTTTGGCTTGGAAATATGTATGAATGCTGCAGACACAAATTAATACCAGCACAATTTGGAAAAGTCATTCGAATCTTGCATGGCAATGAATTTCCGAACCCCACGGTGAAAATCCCGCACTTGATTACACATTTCTAGTTCGCTTTTTACACATTACTTTGATTCTCCATTTAACATACGAGCCTCTATAGCCCTGAACTAGGATATATTTTGATGTACGTTGGACAAAGTTGCAGCTAGATCGTACAATAAACCTCAATTTCACTCGGGTCGGACAGAGTGTCCAGTGGTTTCCTCTCTATGTCTGACAATTTCACGAATAGGTCGGACAATGTCCGTGACCGACCGATATTTTAAGGCCTGTAATAATATTGCATCAGAAGTGTACCACTATATCATACATCTCAACTACATAGTGAAACCAGGCTTTTGTGCAACAGGAGTTATATTATATACAGGTATATTATACATGCATATATATCAACACCTGAATGCCAGAATAAAAGAGGATATATATATATATATATATATATATATATATATATATATATATATATATATATATATATATATATATATATATATATACACAGCTAATTAAAAAAAGGTTGTCCTTTGCAGGCCTGGCCGTTTGAGGCACGCGCCTCCGCACGCGCCTCCGCACGCGCCTCCGCACGCGCCTTGACTCCTCGAGACGTGCCTTTTAACGCGCGCCTCGTTTGTTTGAAGAGTACGAAATCGCGCGTCTGGTTTTTTTATTCTAAATGAAATTTTGCCGGAATAAATCCTGGCCATTTAGACTAGTTATGAAAGAATGACTGATTTAATGCTGATAAAATGAAATGATAACAACATGCTGGTCGGCGAAGGAGCATAAGGAGAATCTTCAACGTGCATTAGAATTTCACAAGGAGAAAAAGTTCGAAATTTCACAAACTCGACAGCAACACCATGGATGAAGAAATTCTGTTAAAAAAGTGTAGAATTGAGAACGACGCCATAACCATTGACGATAACGATGATTCGTCAAGCTAGTCGGAAAGCGATCTTGAGATTTTTATTGATGTTTAAAGTACGATGTATCGTAAATACACGTATTCACCGGTATTTACACCAAACATTTTATATAGTGCCTATACTAATTTCGTCTAAATTCTAATGTTAAAATTGTTTTGTTCTATATAAATTTTCAATCATTTTTGTGAATGTGTTATTCTTGTCTGTATAGCCAATAAGCGTAATTTTTACCGCTTTTTAATCGCGCGCCTGACGTTAATATGGCGCGCGATACGCCGCGCGCCTGCCCAAATACTTACGGCCAGGCCTGCCTTTGCAAACCTTAAACTCTAAACATTAAACTCTAAGCGCGCAGAGCATAATGGGAGCAAAAATTTCAAGCTTAGTAGTTGTATATTGCAGCTGTTTGTGAGTGAAATGTTTTCGCATGGAGATATTTACCATGTCTCTTAGAAATGGGCTCCATATATGCTTTCTAAACAGCTTAAATCGTGCTCCCATTACGCTTTGCGCGCTTAGAGTTTAAGGTTTAAGGTTTTAGAGTTTAAGGTTTGCAAAGGACAACCTTTATTGAATTAGCTGTATGTATGTATATATATATTTCTGTGACATATTGTTCGTTGTTGCATGTATAGTTGATCCTATAGAGGACATGCATCATTAATTAAAAGTAAGTGCATGTGTTGAATTTTGTTAGGACATAAGAAACTGTGCGGGCCAGATTGTTTCGGCACATGAACATGATGCTTAAATAGAAACGCCTGTGAACGCTTCTGGTTGGCCGTTACCCCAACCTCGTGCCCAGGGCTTCTGCGCTTACGAGAGCCATAAGAGCAGAAGCCCCTGAGTACGAGGCTGGTCTTTACACCCAATATGATTGTTTTGAATCAGAGTTTTCAATATTGTAATAGTTCATGTCTATTAAGACTACGTCGGTACGTGACTGGGTGAATTTCGAACCGTATACACAAGTTATTATACGGTTAGCTGCATGTGAATCCAGTTTCATGCGCCCGGCGTTTTGCCGCTCATTGACATGTGATGTGAAATTTTTGCAGCTCCTGAAGTTCTTGGTCCGCAAATGTATGATAAATCATGTGATATGTGGTCGTTAGGTGTTATCATGTATATATTGTAAGTACTTTCATTGATATTCTATATTGCGCATACTATACTTACCACTGATGATAGTGAAGTTCATTCACTGCACGGAAAAAACATTCCGGCATTAATGTGTGCAAACACAGCCTAATTAGGTTAATGTAGCTACTTATTTTGTTCGTTGTAGTACCATCTTAAGCACTTTAAAATCTCTCGGTTTTAATAATACTGAATTCATTCTCTGCGTGTTTTGTTGGGTTTTTTTATAAAAACACATTAAGCATATGACTGCGACTGGTGTTGACTAATGAATCTCATGCACCATCCATATCCGTGATAGATTGTCGGTCGAATTGGGCGAGTCGACACACCGGTAGACAATCTTTAAGGCCTTCTTTCAGGCTTGCTCATACCCAATGGTGATTTACAAATCTCATCCGTAACAAATTGAGTAAATCCAAGGAAGGTTTGGAAACATGCAAAATTAGACAATTCTCTGTTGTTTGGCTACTGAGTTTCACATTGAACTGACGTATTGTAAATTTCAATATCAACATATGATGTATTCCTATACCATGTGGTGACCAGTGGTGGATATTTTTGTGTATTTTAATTAGATAGTAATGATATTTTTATGTATTCTGTAATTTTGTAGGCTATGTGGATTTCCGCCTTTTTACAGTAACCATGGTGCAGCGATATCACCAGGCATGAAGAAACGAATACGACAAGGACAATATAGTTTCCCAGATCCAGAGTGGAGTAATGTGTCAACACAAGGTATATATATATATATATATATATATATATATATATATATATATATATATATATATATATATATATATATATATATATATATATATATATATATATATATATATATATATATATATATATATATATATATATATATATACCAATGTTACCAGATGATTTTGAAAAGAACCCATTATAAACATGTACATCTATCGTACCATACCTAAATATTACCAAGCATGCCATAAGGGGGGATTTCCACTTACAGAGAAATATTTCGTCGTCGAAATATTTCGCTTGATTTCTTTTGAATTGTGACCATCCGAATGAATCAGTTCTACTTGACCGCTCACAATTCAAAAGAAATTGAGCAAGTGGCAATCCAGTTTAATAGACAATGACAATCGCAGACAGTGGCGGAAATCTTGGTGGGGCGACCGCCCCCCCCCCCCCCCCCCTTTACGGAAAATTGCCGGAAATTTTCGGAAATTTTGGCTGGGAGCTAAACTAGTCTTTTGATTACAGAGGGTTGTCAGGCATTGAAAGTTTGTCGGGGCCCCCCCCCCCCACCGGAGAAAGTGAATTTCCGCCACTGATCGCAGAGGTTGGTGTAATTCCTCTATATATAAACAACGTATATATATACCAAGTCAAATTAAAGATCTGTTTTGGGTTATCGCATTGTTTGATGAAACTGCGAGATTGCCTTGGTGGCTTCCTAGTTCCCTCCCCACCACACCTTTGTTGGTAACCGGATTTCGTTCCCGGAAACGGCTCGATTCCACTTCGGTTGTATTTTGTAGTCCAGTTTGTAAAAGTGTTTTTTTCCTCATTAAGGTCAGCGCTTAAGTATAGTGCTGGAAATAAACCTCGTTATTATACTGTGCCAACTATTTTATTCATGTGTCTTTTTTCGTACAGCGAAAGATTTGATTTGTGGTCTACTAAAGACTGAGCCACGTGAAAGATATACGGTAGAAATGGTTATAAATAATCCTTGGATAAAGGTATGTTATCAATAGAGACATCCGAATACAATGAACTTGCCAGACCGCAGAAAGATTTCGGGGTGGCCCGGGGAATTGTTTTCAGGCTCCCTTATGACGTCATAAATTAAAATTTACGAAGGCCAGATACTGTTTTTCAAGCTCTCTAAAATTGACCATTGATTGGTCAAACCCAGATTACAGTTTAGTATTTATAAATTAAAGTTTTTTACATACGTAGTAGTAGCAGCTTTTCTACAACCACTATCTATTCACTATAGGATAGCGCTATTTGGCCTTCGTAGAACCGGTCCCTATAAAGATAAATATTTACTCTTATTTTTCTTACACAGGCGTATACTGAAGTTCCATCCACACCTCTACACACAGCTAGTGTTTTAAAAGATGAGACAGACAACTGGCAGGATATGCAGGTATTATTATTATTATAAAACTAAAATATAGATTTCATAGTGGTTGGCAATGTTCAAGTTAGGCAGATACCTTCCAAAATATCCATATTTGGTTGTCCCCAGGGCGCTTATTTGCGCAAGATGGCGGCAGAGCAATGCGGTGATCGATGTGTAATGTGGGGAAAGGCAGGCATGCACGACCGTTACTTTTTGGAAAAAAATCAGACTTTTACAAAGATACTTAAAAGTTTTTCGCGCGAAGCGAAAACAATAATTTCGACAATGTGACTGGTTAGCGAAAAAATTCACCGCGAAGAATGGGAAGTTCCTCATGGCGAATTTTTTCGCTAACCAGTCAAACGCGAACAAATTTGCCTACTGATGAACGGGTTTCATGACTCTTGCATTGTACCTGACGAAAAATAACTGAATCTGCTTAATTATCATATTACACTGGAATTATATCCTCAGCAAATCTTACCCCAGCCCATATTTATTTTGCTGTGGTATAACAACAGCAGGCTCGGTAACAATCCTTTGTGTCGCAATCAATTAACGCGCCTACACGTATTTACGTTTTATCGCCCGTTATAAAAGCCTCTGAAGCGCCCTGGAGTCTTCAAAATTGTCAATCACAATTGATCTTAGGGAAAATCATCACTCTCGGCGCTTTCAACAACAAGAAATAGCCCATGCAATGTGCTCTCAGTCTTGATCTCGACCTGACTATTAAGCACTTTTCTTGCGAGAGTAACTCCTAGTTTAAATTTGTTCTTTTAGGCTGAATTTGACCTGACACTACAGTCAATGAGAGTTGACTTCGAAAAACCAATTATATTGAAAACTGTAGACAAAGCAAAGAACTCGCTTTTGGGAAGGCGGAAGAAGTCAAAAGAAAGCTCAAAATAATATATGTGATTAGTACATTATTTTGATCGAGATTTATTACTTTAATGGTTTTAGACGAATTTGAAAAATGATGGGATGGGGTTTTTTCGAATTAATAACATAGGTATTGTGGAGTGTACTTTTAAAAATGTGTGATCGCTCATAAAAGTAACTGTCAAAGACCATGCATATATACCTCATATAAAATTGTATAAACTTGCAGTCAGGGCTTGAAATAGAGGCCTGGCTGCAGTGGCCAAAAGCAGGCCATATTTTAGCAATTGCAGGCAAAAATTTATCTGACCTGCCAAGTCAAAAAATAAAATTGCAGGTGAATTTCTACAGTTGTTATATTTCATTTGCTTACGACGTACTAGTATATATTCTTAATTTTTCGCGTTTTTAATGACTCGCGTAGTGGATATATTTTAAAATATCAAATATATTTTAAAACTGTTTTAATGAGATGTCCATTAGATTGGGTTTATGGGACCAGTTTGGCAGTTTAAGAATAGATATGACTGGCATATTTTTTTAGACCTGCCGAAAAATATAGTGCATAAGGCCATAGTTTTTCCTATTTCGAGCCCTCGTGATTGCAGTCTGAATTTCTGGGTGTTGCTACAACACCAAAATAGTGTAAATCATTGCATGCAGCTCTGCAGACAACCTCGCAAGCCAGGGTCTTTACCTCCACACGGCGCTGCGGAGGTAACAACCCTGGCTGCGAGGTTACTCTGTAGGCACTGCATATAATGACTGATTCAATGTAAATGTTAACACCAATTTTTTGTTAGTGAACACCAAATTTACACTCAATTATTAAAACAGCTATAACACTTATTGGGTGTAAATATAACAAAAATAGTATTAACATTTGCACTAAACCGAGTCTACAGAGCTACGGTGATTTGCACCATTTTGGTGTTGTAGTAAACTTGGAAATTTAGAGTGTGTTCTTATGTTATCTTTGATCCAAGGCGCTGTTTATATGGCCTCGGGTACCACCGTACCAGGGACATCCTACCCCCCGAGACAACTTTACCGTGCGTTTATATGATAAAACTCAGAAAGGCATAACGCGGGGAATACTCCGTTTTTTGTTCGAAATACTTCGTTTTTGTTCGTTTATGTTGTTTTTAATAAAAAGTTTATTGAGCATGCGTAGGTCTAAATAGTTGCCCCTGGAGGCCGAGGCAAATCAACGCAAACTGTTTACATGGACAAAAGTTGTCCCTCCTACAAGGGTAACCCTGTTTCGTAAACAGGGTGTCCCTACAGCCAGGGTGACCCTATACAGTCGAGACGAGTTGAAAACTTTCCATATAAACACTTGCGTTTAAATGTTATATAATGAATATAATTTTGCCTCTCCCAGGGTAGCTCGGCGGGTAGGGTTTCCCTAGTACCCGAGATCATATAAACAGCACCCAAGTCTGTAAGTGACTTTGTACAAGCTATTCTTGTATTCACGGTCGTCTCTGGCAAAGCTTAAAGCGAAAACGTAAACTTGTGCTTTGACGACCATAACCATTGTCCCTGAAACAGCCAAACAGATATATAGCCTACTACGCAGGTATTTCATTTCGTGCCCACCTATCTATGATGGTCACACACATTGGCAAAACAGCACTTGATTGAAACGTTGATAATGTATCCTATACCTAATTAAGTTCGATCCGAAGGTTGTAAAGGTATTGCACGCACAGATCTGGTTGCTTGCCTTCATAAATATTTGAACATTTTGGACGCAAACTCGGCCATGTATTTAATAATACTAATAGCATGAATCATATGAATAATGTATAATGAAAATTTGTAATGAATGGAAAGGATCTTAGAAGTGCTTACGTCACGTAATTTTCAAACAATGAATTATTGCCCCAGAAGTATCCCACAATGCACTGGCATTCCAGAAGTCCTCTGTATTCAAAATTGCGTGACGTAAGTACTTCTAATTAAGATCCATTGTTTTACACGATTTTCAAACATTTAAATGTTGGGTATTCGTACAAAAATTGGTCATAATTAATATTTGTGAATAAATATTTTGCACCAATTTTGTCATTTGTTACATAATCATCGTCAGAGAAACATGAAGAGAATGTTTCAAACATGATTTTTTTGGAAACATAATTTCTTTTTCAAACATGATTTCTTTTTCGTTCGTCCAGATTTCTTTTTCGAAGTCAACTGTGAAAAAGTGTCTCGAGTAAGATTCGGGAATCCGGTCCGCGCACTGAATTGTAGCGGTTAGCTTTCATCTTCACTACATTTCTAGCGTAATTACGAAATTCTTTCTAGGGGACCAGTCATTATCTATGGCCGGGTTGGCACCGAAGAGAAAAGGGTTGGGTAAACAAAATTTTGAGAGAGTAAAAGCTAGGTTGGGTATTTGAAAGACAAAACAACTCAATGATTGGTCTGTCTGTAATAGACAGGTGAGTCTAATAGAGAAGTGTCCGTATCCGAATGGTGTCCCTATTAGAGAGGCTTCCTCAAGGAGAACTTTCACTACACTTCGATTTTAATATATTAATGATGTATTCTAAATAAGACGACAATTTTACAACAATGTTCTGTATTTAGTGTTTATTAAAAAGACTGCCAAAATCACAGAGTTAATCGTACATCTTTAGTCAGAGTATCATGTCCAATGTCTAAGAACTGTTGGCAAAAATTTTGATTTCAATATAATTAATGATGTATTCTTCAATTGGGTCATGACGATAGACGTCCAGAAACATTCCATTATTTCTAAACCTTGGCTTTTGGCCGTACCCAACACATTGCTTTGTGCCATTGCCTTGTGCACAGAAAATGGTGCCCCAGTATGCCTTCGGTTTCAATGTTATCACAAATTCATCAGGCCAATCGTTCGGAAGTCAACGAGGCTGTTTCATTGTCATCACCTATATGATAAGAAGAGGTTTTTGGCTGAGCATACAGACAATACACCCTTGTGCTCAGCATCGTTTTTGTGATTGCGATATTGGGTTTATTTTATTTATAGTTTTTTCTTAGAACCCTTTATCTTGTTAAAGGTGACACATAAATGAAATCATACATTAAGAAACAGCTCTCACTGGACCCTTATGAAGAGAACTGCTCTGAACTGACAGATGCCGCCTAGCTGCACGTCATTGTTACGGCAATAAACTCTTCCAGAAATTACTTAGCCGTGGCTATAGAGCCTAGTTTCCGTGTTTGAGACATTAGGGAACTTCAGATTCGCTACGGCTACGAAATCTAGTACGACTACGAGATTTTTTCCATTAAATATCAGCTACTAAAAACTTATAATAGTACGTGGTTTGGCGCAATTGTTGCTATAAATATGTGGTATGCAAGAGAAAGGAGAATAAAAAGTCTGTAGTAGCAGATATTTAATGGGAAAAATCTCATAGTCGTACCAGATATCGTAGCCGTAGCGAATCTAAAGTTCCCTATTAACAGCGAATAGAGGTGTGCAAATCCGATCGGATTCGTTCGGATTTCGGAACCACGCATTATCGTAAGAATCATGCATTTATCACTGAGCATCATCGCGGTTGTCACTGCATTATTCGTTTGATACTTCAATTAGACGTCACTTTGCACGGACTTTTCCCTGACCCTGCTACTAACTCTTGACGAAGGGCCTTCGCTCGAAACGTCGAGTTTCTGCTTGTTTTTTAAGATAGTAATATAACCACTCAGCACAGCATTTTCACATTGGTACTACCTAGTCTACCTACACTGGTACAGACAGTTTTAGTGTATTTTGAACACCCTTTCTCGCTCGCCGTCCTTATCAGGCCCGATTTGGAGCTGAGTTGTGGATCTTGTAACTTGGCCTATAATGATAATGTACCGATCAATTCGAAACTTCAACATCCCCCCGGGCATATCCCGGGAATTTGACTTCAAGTCTTCTCCAGGAAGTAGGGAATTTGACGTTCTAAGTCTCCCATGTGGTGGGGCATTTGATAAGGGTGGAGAATTTGAACCGGAAGTCTTAAAATTTTGCCCGTTTTCGAGTGCTTCCTGCATGCACAGAAAAGACTTTGCATTGGCGGCAAATACAGATTTCGAGGGAAACGGCCTCAATTTTGTGAAAAACTGGCTCAAAGAAACGGGTATGGAAAAGCTATGTGCTTCATTTGAAGGTATGTACTACAAAATTGTGTAAAACTTTTAAATTTCCATAAGGTTTCCAAACTTTGTAAGTGAATTTCGCTATCTTGCCAAAAAACATTTCCGTATATTTTGTACTTTTTGTATTTACTGTTTCATAATTTTCATATGAAGGTGGGGCATTTGAACGCTTAATATCTCGTTGCAGTGGGGCATTTGAAGACATTTTTTGTACAGGGGTGGAGAATTTGATCAGTCAAATTTCGAAAAGTTCAAATTCCCGGGGCGGCATGTTGAAGTTTCGAATTGATCGATACATAATGTATAATGAAACATTTAGTATTACAAATGCTCGTCGACAGCGAAGGTGTAAAGTCTGATACCACGAGCGCTTTCATTGGGGGTACTTCCTCGGGTTGAAGAATTTGCATCACAGATTACGTCATCAGTTAGTTATAGTGATTAGTGTTGAGGTTAGGGTTAGGGTAAAGGCCTGATTCCACGAGGCGGAATTTTTCGACCGAAACGAAATTTCTTTTTGTCTTTTTACAATCCGGCCTTTAAGGGTTAGATTAAGGGTTAGGGATAGGGATATGGATTGGGTTATATCTGACGCCACAAACAACACAACTAGCCGATCACGTGATCAGTTCTCCTTTACCCGAGGAACTACCCTTCATTTGCGAAATGCGAAAAATTTCGCGCGAAATGACTGAATTAAGGCGGTTTTCCACTAGGCGAAATTTTTCGATCGAACCGAAATTTTTATTGTTCAAATTCAAAAGATTTCTGATTAGTTCCATCTGAGTGCTTCTAAGACCAAGGAAAATTTCGATTCGGTCGAAAAATTTCGCCTAGTGGAAAACCGCCTTTACAAGCACTCAGATGGAACTAAACAGAAATCTTTCGAATTTGAACAATAGAAATTTCGGTTCGATCGAAACATTTCGCCCAGTGGAAAACCGCCTTAACCTGCAGGAGTTTAACCAGGAACAGCTGCGAAAAATGCAAGCTCTCTGGCAGGAATCCGATAACTGGACTCTATAGCTCAGCTGGTTGGTATAAATATCCAGATTTTGAGCATCTCGCTCGATAGAACTAATATGAAGTCGTAATTGCAGCAGGTTCGATTCGTGCCAGAGGGTGCGGTGGGCTTATAGTTGCAATTTTCGCGGCTGCTCCTGGTTAGACTCCTGGTTAGGTCCGAATATTGTATATAATCTTCCGCTAGACATTTCCATCTACAAAAACTCTTCAACTGTTAGTTCTGTCAGTTGTGGACCGTGACTTATTTAACTTGATAAATACATCGAAATCGTCCTGCCTCAAGCCTGGTTCACATATGCCTGCGGTATGCCTGCGACTGTATCATTATGCCTCTACTTGCCGCCGAAATACCGGCAAAGTTGAACTCAAGTCAACTTTCCCGGCCTACCGCCGATGTAACCGTGGCACTGGAGGCAATCGGCGAACAAATATTCACATAATTTACGTTTTAAGCTACCACCGGCATCGTCGCCGGTACGTCGCAGGCACGTCACAGGCATATATGTGAACCAGGCTTAATATCTCGTCCTGGTAAAGCGGGATCATATAAACAGCCCCTTATTCAGCAAATTGTGCATGCTGCCTTTGATCCCTTGGGGTTGAGGCAGCACTTTCCTTGCGATAGTAACTTCTAGTATATAATCTTCCGTTAGACATTTCCATCTCAACAAAAACCCTTCAACTGTTAGTTCTATCGATACCCAAAATCTCGATATTTAATTTATAGACTTTGAACCTAAAACTAGTGCTAAACTCCTAAAGAGAGCAAATGAACGCAGAATTGTGTTTTAAAGTCAACACATAAAATACCTGCCCTGAGAGGCATTTAATTTAGTGGGACTGGGATTTGGTCTAAAAAGTGCTGGGAAATGGGATTTAGAGAGAAAAATTGGCTAGCGTGGGGATCTAGGCACAGATCAACTGCAGCATAAATATATTACGCAAAATTAGCATGCAGTATATAATGTAAAAATAATGTATATAGTCATATACTACTTGACTTACCTAAAAAGGTCAACTCAGTGCCTCAGTCTGCTCTGATTCGGAGGCAGCAAAGAAGTAAAATATATTCGGTATTTGCATCCTATAAATAAGATGGCTATGGGAAGTTATTTTATTTTCTATGAGAAGTGATTTTATTTATTTAAGTGTTTGACGCATTTAATATATTCAGTATATATAATCTTTGATAATCAGATCCGGCCAGGGTGGAATTTTTATACATTTATTAAGGCCCATTTCTACTCAGGAAAATTTTCCGCAGAAAGAAAATTTTGTAAAATGTGATTGTGTGATTGTGTGATTCCATCAATACAACACAAGACATGCGTCAAAACTCTATAAGTGTTATAAGAGAACAAACTATGTAAAACACAGTCTATCTAATAAAGGAATTGATATTTGGAATTCATTAGAACCAAAATGTAAAGGCACAAACTCCTATAATGTCTTCAAGAAAGAAATGAAACAGTATTTTTTACTGAATCATGTATAAAATTATACTGTCTTCAGATTTTATTGATATTTTAACATAAATCTTTTATTTAGTACTCCTGCTTTATCATCCTTCTTTTCTAAATAGCATATATTCCAAAAATTACTTTTTTCATTATCTTTAACTGTAAATATATTAATTAACCTTATTATGAACCACAACTACAACTAGGGGTCCAAACCAAAAAGCCTGCAAAGGTTTCTAGTAGGTCCCTAGCCCAATATCATTAGAAGAAAGTTGTTTTGTAATTATTAAAATCTGTACATAGGGGAAAAAATAATAAATAATTGAAAATTTTCAACTTTTAACAATGATATTTTCGGAAAATTTTCTGTCCGTGGAAATTTTTCTTGAGTAGAAATTGGCCTTTAGTCCTAACAATGTCATATAGGAGAAGTTGCGAACATCAGAAAAAATGTTTCCGGACAACATATTTTTAATCTTATCATGTGTTTAACCACCGTTGTTCGTTCCATTTTCCCCTAATGTTTTCGTAAATTCCTCCACATTTTAGCTATCATTCTTAATTTTTGATTTTGTATCACTCAAACATTTTATTCTTTTCTTCCTCTCCAAATCCATGTATTATTATATATATAATATTTTATTCTTTTCTTCCTCTCCAAGTCCTGGGATTCAATATTTTTCCGACTACATGATGACTGGAGGAGGGTGTTCCAACCCTCACACCCCCTCCCTCCTTTAGCGCCGGCCCTGATAGGGTTAAGAAACAAGTGCAGCAAATAGCACCCGAAAACTGCGGATTGAAGTTAGTAGCATGGATCGGGAAAATAGCATTCTAAAGACCATAGATTTCGGATGCGGGGCATACCAGTGAACTAGATGATCATGCTCCATTATTCTGTTTATAAAGTGGTCTCGCTGTAAAAATCCTCCGGTCATCAGGAAAGGAAATGAAAACATAACCTTAGGTAAATATAACCTTAGGTAAATATGATGAAAACATAACCTTAGGTAAATATTATTAATGAATTTATGCCACAACACCTCAGATCTCAGTAAGTAACGTAAATATCATATTTCATATTATGAACACTATTGAACAGGCTTTCGTTGGTATATATATGGATGCAACTATATATATGGAGAATTGAAATTCTCCTTATATATTTTCAGGAAGTTATATACATCCCTACCAAAACGAAAGCTTGTTCATTTTATTGGCACTACCTACACTGGCAAAGACAGTTCAAGATGATATTTCATCTTATGACAGTTTTTTTTTTAAATTTTGGTAAGTTGTACTTTTATAATATACTGCAGTGTCAAAGTGACAAAGTTTGGTGAAAATATTTATTCAACGCAATTAT